AAATGGAAAACAGGTGTGTTTCCACTCTCCCAAAGTGTGTCTTGTAGCTTCATCCCCTCTATAATGCAGCTTCCTTTAATGAGTTGTGAAAACTCTGTGTGACTGCTTTACTAAAAGCATGCAGTGTGTTTTAGTCGAGATAGCTTACGTGTCTTCAGTGAAGCGGCCATGAGTGGAGGTACAGAGCACCTTGGGGTCGACATATTCAATTGAGAACTCCTCAGTAGGCACTGCATACACTTTGTACTAACAAGAGAAACAGGTTTATTTAAGAACCGTGTGATGCAGTGCAAATTATAAGATATAACAAATCATTTGTGGAAACATCTCTCTCACCAGCAGTAATGAGGTTGTGGAAGTTTGCAGGAGAAGTTCTGTCCTGTGAATAAGCTGTAAAACTGCCACCTGATTACTGCTGTCCACTGCCACGCTCCGGCACAAAAAGCTGTGGAGATTACAGGACACAACCACTGCAAACATACAGTACCTAATCTATAACTTTCTAAGACGGTGATGTCATTTTTACACATTGTAAAGACAAAAATAACAAACATGCTGTGGAAGCTGGAGCAACAGATGAAGGACTTACCTGAAAGCACAACTGTAAATGTTAGCTCTGGCAGGGACATGACCACCTGACTGGCCACTGATGAGTATGTTGACATTCTGGACAGCATCAACCTCACTGGCATACTCCAGGACAAGGGCATATGGACCAGGGCGTGGCACACGCAGACTGAGCTCCAGCTGAGACTACAGGGTACAAAACATACATTTTATAGGAAACATTCAGATATTTTAAGAGGATGAAGCTGAAAATGAATCCAAGGGAAGTAAAAAGCAATCAATCGATAACAAATTGTTATATAAAAGCTTGTTCAAGCAATAACTTAAATATTTAACTTCAGCTAACTAGGCAGGTAGTTGTAGTCCTACAGGTCCTAATGCCAAAATCCCAATCTTGTGCTTTTATTGTAGACTTTGAAACAGCTACCAGAAACCTACCCAAGACACTCAGTCTGTTTTATGGATTAGCATTCAAGACATTTGAGGCGGTCTCCACTACACTGAAACCAAAGTCTGAACCCAGCAGCAAATTTCTATGTTATGAATGAATAAAGGCACAGTCTCCCACCTGTTTGCCATTGAGGGCAGCCATCTCTGGGTGATCTGGGGTGGGACGCCGCACACGAACTTGTCTTCTCCTACGTCTGCCGCGGTTGGAGAGTCTTCCTTGTGAGCCAAGTGCAGAGCTGAACCCATCCATGGCCACATGCTTATATAACAGACAGCTGAGACAGAGAGACACACATGGGAAAAAGTAAAAATGGCATCAAGAGATAAGACCACTTATAAAAAAGATACATCTAAAACAGAAATAGACTCAAAGATGTTGAACAGAATCTTTTAAGAATTACTTTGCATTTCTGTTTACAGTAGGTAAATATGTGCAGGGCTGGGTGATCGTTTTCTGCAGCAGAGGCGCCTCATAGTAATCCCGGGGCAGCAGCACTAAATAGTCCTTGGGAGAGAGAGTACGGTTGTCTACTTTAGTTTTCAGTCTATTTGCTATTTTTTATCCATGAACAAATGCAATGTTACACAGGAAGACTTTACATGAGGTTTCCTACATCATAATCCTTATTGAACTCACCAGCAGGACGCCCTCTGCCCTGATGTATATGAGCCATTTCCCTGGAGTCAGAGCAAAAGGCTCAGCAAAGCCCTCTCCTGGGACAGTGAGAAAGGATGGGGAGCGACTTTCAGGGAATATTACTTCCTTACTCTGATCTGACCCTGCAAATAAATGAATAAATAAATAAAATGGCTGTAATGAGTTGAGAGCACAGAAAAGACATAAGAAGCTGGACATAATGAGCACATGACATATCAAGCAAAAGCTTACATATAAATGTCATAGGGGGGATGGGTTATTTATCTTATTTCTTTAATGATGGGTCAGATTTAATAAAACAATGGTGAAATTTAAATGCTGAATCAATGTTTGAGGCAGCCTTACCTGCAATGCCTCTGTTATTGGTAGCCCTTATGTTACCAGTCACGCTTGTACTGCTGGGGTTAATGTACCGCAGAACCACACGGAACAAGTTCTGCCTCCCATCTTTTAGGTCAACATGCACTGTTACTCTGACTTCACTCTGCAGGGATGAGAGTGACACACAACTGATGCAATGGATTGAGTAGATGATGAAGGTATAATGTGAAGAGAAAGGTTAGAAATGATGTCTGGTGCACAGAGGAGTTAAACAAACAGAGCGGGTTAATCAGCAAACAAGCAAGCAAGCAAGGTGAAGACAGGAGCACACAGCCAAAGGAAACCAGGCCCTTCACTTACAGTCACAGCAAGACTGAAAGCCACCTTCATCCACCACCAAAATCCTTGCTCTCACTTGTGCTCTCCCCTTTTGTTTGGGGGTGGTGTAGCGCAACACAATATGGAAAGGGCCAGGAAACCCAAGGGTAAGCATTAGGATCACCTCTGGCTGAAGAGAGAGAGTGTTAGTTCTACATCAGCCCTGACATAATAGAAGATTGTGTGTTTTAAGCAGGAATTTCAATAGAGAGGTAAAAGCTTAAGAGTCACAGTAGTGTCAGAATAGACTGAAAAGGGATGAGAAAGGAAGCTATAGAGTTAAGTAGCAGATAGGCAACCCCAGAAATATATAATTTACTAGCATTATCATGAGTATAGCCAGTGTAGCTTAAGGTACCAGTGTACTGGGAATGTGTACTAACCTGTGCAGGGGACATAACAGCGTAACCTCTCCAACTGAAATCTGGGAATTCTTGGGGGTTATAACCAAAACGTACTGGTCTGGCATTTGGCGTTGTACCATCCTCCACCTCAAACTTCAGTTGGTGCAAGGTAGGAAAATAGTAGCCTGCTGCTGGCCTAACAAGGTACATGAACATTTTAATTAAAACCAAGTTAAAATAGTAATCATAGCAACACTGATTAGCAAAAGAGAGAAACAGTATAGTTCAAGTAAAGGTTCTAAGTGAATTATAACATTAAAGTCTTCCATATCTTACTCAGTGCATTTATGGCCAACTATGCTCTTCCAACACCGGCACTGTCCAGACATCTCATCACACGCCATGTCAATGGCACCACCTACATCACACTGACAGCCTAAGAAGCAGAGTAACAGGGGTCATTATTTTTGATTATATACCTTGAAAACCCATTTTCTCAATGTCAAATTCCTTCCCTGTACTAATCAGAACTGGTCACTGCCCGGGATCTATCCTAGGATGACTTAACACCAGGCTGAAAGGCAATGTTTCACAGCTGTGTCTACCTGAAAATGTGTTGTAACAGTAATAACAATAAATTGTACATAGTATATGTAAACGAGATGTGAAGTTAGACGTTCAAAAAGGATTACTTACCTCGACAGCCAAAATAATTCCTTTTCTGCAGCAGGAAGTATCCATCCTCACAAGAGTCACATGAATGTCCACATGCATTAGGCTTACAGTGACACCGTCCACTTTGCTAGACAAACAGATAACATGGAGGAAAGCAAAGTGTTACACAGCTGTGCCTGAGCAATTCGGTCATAACTCTGTAAGTGTCTAAAACACCATAATGTGAGTAATAGACAGCTATCAGTCCAGAGGTGGGAATGAAATCTTCACCTGTTCACACTCTGCAACACCACTCAGGGTCCCTTTCAAATCACACTGGCACTCTGGTATGAGAGAAAGACAGGTTATGACAATGTAAAGGGGATCTACAGTGAACAGACTCTGATTAGAAGATTTTGTCACTTTCATGGGAGAAACGCAACAGCACAAAATCCTCAAATCTGCAGAGATCTGCGCATCAAAGGTCCAAAGGAGCCTGACTGCTTTCAACACAGCAAAAAAAAAAAATCTTTCCCTCATGTCTGGTCACAGTCAACCAGAGGCATTCTTAGGATATTAAAAGGTCCTTTTCCCCCGTCCTTTCATGAGTCTTCAGGCAGCATGGGAGTGATAACATTCTTGTTAGAGAGCAGAACTGTAACATAAGTCAGGTATCTGGACAAAGCCTGAAGCTGTTCCCTCACTGCCTGGATAATAAATCTTTCCCGTGGACTATTTTTCTGTGAGTAGGAGTCCAGAGGTTTGGCTTTTGTCAATGTGCCATTAGATTACTGCTCTGATCACTACTCTGTCATAGTATGGCTCTTAGGTTCAGGTGCAAGAATTTGCCTGTGTCAGTGTGTTATTCCTCAAATCACCTCAATGAGACTGGGAGGCATATTTATCCTTGTTGATAGGGGTTTGTTGGCATATCCTCTGGGTAAGAGAAGCCAAGGCCCATATCACTGCCTTGTCAGCTAATGGTGATTTAATACAGTTGGAAAAAATTGGACCAGTGATCAGGAAAAAATATTCGTGGGGAAACAAAAAAAGAGACTGGGGTATTTTTTTTCTCACACCTTTTACAAACTTAAGTCAGTAATAGCTTTCTGTTTCTTTTAGATTTCCGGTCACTTACCTATACAGCCATGGGGGTTGCCTTTAGCCAGATTCCAGTAAAGAGGTTTACACCTGTTGCACATGGTTCCCTCTACATTTGGCAGACAGTGGCACAAGCCCTGAAATAACAAATATGAAATCTAAGGATTGTTTAAAATGGTAACTACTGTTGAAAGCCTGTTTATATTTATTGTGTTACTCTACATGTTTTCTGAATGACTGGAAATGAATTGGGTTTTTCTTTTTACTTTTAAAGATAAGATATCTTCCAAAATAAAAAGAAGAAAGCTGAGTAGCAGCTGCTGACCTTTACTTCTTGCTGTTGTTTTTCTTCCTCTTCAAAATGAGAGGAAGTCTCTTTTCCTTTTGTAATTACATTTACATTTCAGGGGGAAAACACTTCCTTGTAAAATATGTTGTGTGAAGTTTTAGCAGCACAGCTGTGTCATCAGTTGTAGGTTTGTTAGACCATATAAAATCCAAACCCATAGGGCCAGTGATGGATCAAACTGTCACCACATCTGTTATCAAGACTAATAAAAACTTGATCAAAGTTGGGCTGTGTAATAAAATTAAAGTTTATTAAGAGTGGAATACCGTTTGCGGATCGGAGACCTCGGTTCCTGCTGCGTTACACTGACTGATGGAAGCTGGAAGAACAAAATTAATACAAAAAGAAAAAAGGAGTTAGTAAGTGTCTGCAGTGCACCATTAAACATGGCAGATAGTCTAACGTGAAACAGCTCAAAATCTTAAACGACAAACTTACTGGATTACTGAGCCCTGCCAAGAAGCTCCGCCACATTAAATATTATTGTTTTAAATAATAAAAGCTGCTTCTGCCTCAGCCCCAAAATCATAAAAAGTCATAAAACGTTTTTATGACTATGGTGGTTGCTGACATGATTACCTGAGCACTGGGGGAACCTGAGTCCAGAGGCACAGCGGTCACACTGCTGGCCCACCACCCCTGGCAGACACAGGCACTGACCCGACAGTGGGTTGCACGTATTGCCATACGAGCCTTTAGGCGAACATTGGCAGGCTGGGGACAAGAACAAAACAGAGTAGGACCTTCCAATGCAAGCCTATGTGTGTTATCATCATTAGAGTTGGGTGAATCTAATGAGAAAAGGGTTTGAAGCTGTTTTTCTGATTGAGCTTTTCTTAAGTGATTCCCAGTTGTCTATTTTTGAGAATATGATTCCCTAGAAGAAAGAAGTCCATATATAGCTCCTATTCCAGCTCTCTGTGATATGTTGTGTCATGCAGAATGCATTAAATAAATCAATGTGGAGGGCAACGTTGTGTTTTACATGATACTGTGGGAGAATGAGGATGTTTGCTCCACAGAGTCATGAGAAGAGGCCACAGTGAGCCCAGTGAAACCAGCAGCATTTTTCCACCAGCAAAGTTCCCATGCATCCAATTAGTTTATCTACCATAGTCACACAGAGTACATGGACATAGAGAGATCAAGCCAACTCACCAGCACAATCTGGGTATCCATAGTAGCCTGGAGCACATTCGTTACACTCCTGTCCCCCATAGTTGGGGAGGCAAATGCATTGTCCACTTGGACTGCAGACATAGTCAGCCACACCAGCCCCATCACAGAGACACGCTGGAGGAAGGAAAAGAGGGTGTCATCAGCTGCATTTGCAGTTTTGCACACTGAGTTACGCCTTATTCACAAAATAATAAATCATATTTCTTTTGTCATTTTTTGTTAAATGTATGGCAACTTTCCTCAAATTTTATGTAGACATAGTAAAAAAAATATTTATAAAAACAGTATACACAATCTTACTTAAACTCACACACGCTGATAATAAGATAAGATTGATTCTGTTAGTTTGGGCTTTTCGGGAACATACTTTTTGAGCCTTGAGGTTTAAGAGTCATAAGGTTGAAGGTTACTATAAAACAGCAAACAACTGTTCGTGCTTGAAGTGTCCTTATCCCCACAACTACTGCAAGCAGACTCATACAGGCATAAGGACACTTTTGTGTAACGGTAAAGCAAACACATGCTGGAAAACCTATTTCAATTATTTGCACGTTATGGAAATATTAAAATAATAAGGTGATGAACACAAGATCTGTCTTTTGTAGTACTTAATAAAGCTTTCAGGAAATGGCTCAGTGCATTCAGAACGCAAAAGACATAACGTAGACATAACATGCTTGTGTACAGTGCGCCGCCACCGCTCTGTATCGCCTCTGTCATACTCATAACAGAGGCGCCAGCCAGACAGCAACATTGAACACACATGCCAACACTAAGATGTAGACTCACTTCTCTCTACTGTAGGAGTTTTGACCAATATCATACTATCACACTTGATTTCTATATGATTTACAATTCACTTCATTTCATTTCCTCCCCAGTACACCAACCACAACTGTGCAAGTGTCTGCAATTATTGCTAAATATTATTAGTGGCCACACTGCCATGAGAAGCTTCTCCAGTTTATTGCCTCTGATTATGTCTACATTCTAACAGCTTCTGCTCATCTCTTTCATTATCATTCTGACAAATACCATTCATGAGGTGGTGTTTCACTGTCTATGTAGGGGTAATGCTCATGGGCATAGTGATTGTTTCTCACCCTGGCAGTCTGGGAAGGAGTGGTGTCCAGGTTGACAGCGGTCACATTGCTCCCCTTCCACATGCGCACGGCACAAGCAGCTCCCTGAAGCATCACACACACTATACACCGTCCCTCTGTAGTCACATATACACTCTGTGCACAAACACATCAATAAAATCTGCTTTTATTAGCAGCTGAAGAAGCTTCTTCTTGAGTTCTTAACCCTAACCTAACTGACAAATGGAAAGACATAAAAAGCAAATGGCTAAAGGTCATTGTTTTAATAGAAATTCCATATAACTGATAATGGGTTTCCCAGTTTGGAGAAAACCAAAAAAGGGAATTTAGTAGGGGGGTGTAACTAATAATAGACTGATTGGCTCTCACTGAACAATCCCAGGACAGAAACAATTTGAACTTAAAGTAAATCCCCACTGATCATAATTTATTCTCATCAGTCTGTTATGCTCAACAACTGCAAGAAATATGTTGTCATTAAGCATCAGATTTACTCATTATATATTATACTGTACTAGGGCACAATATATTACAACAGCATTTTAATCCAACCATATTATACTGCCATTTTTGTTTTCATAAGACATACAGCACAAATATGGACCTACACATTTAGGCTTTTCTGGACTGACCCCTGCCACATGTTTTTAACATTTAACTTTATGAAAACCCCAGGCAGATTGTGGAGCCTTAAATGGTCCTCTAAAGCCCCTTTTCATGTGGCGAGAAAGTGTAAAAAAGTTCTTCAAGGTGGCATAGTAGCAATGGCTCTTTAAAGGAAATGCAAATGGAAAGGAATAATAGCAGCATAAGCCTGCAAAGACTTCTATAGTGGCAGAACATTGCTAACTTAGTCACACTCACGCTGACAGGTGGGTGAACCAAAATAACCTGGAGGGCAGGGGATGGGCACTGTACAGAAACAATGAAAAAAGATGGAGAAAAACAGTTGAACAGTAACAGCAATTAAAAAGATTGTTCAAAATACCCATAAGCTAAACTGTGGTATGTGACACTATAAACCTGCTTACTGAACTTACCCACAATAGGAGATTCAGTAGTTGCCGGGTATATGGGATATCCTGATTGCAAATGGAAGGCAAGTAAAACATCAACTTTATGTATTACAGGCTTTGACAAATTACTTTTACTGCAAGCTTTAAGATTATTATACAAAATTAAACCTACAACATAAAAAATGTGGAAAAAGTCAGTGATTCCTTCCTGAGCCAACTGTACCTGGGCTAGATGAACTAATTTCAGTTCAAATACGGTACATTAAAACATAAATGTCTCCTGTGAGAAATGATTATCTATGAAACGTCATTCAAATTCCAGGAACCCAGAGGTCAAATGCTGCTGAAAGCTTTGCATGTTTAGTAGCTGTGTCTGTTTGTTAAGACTGGAGGTATGGCATGTGGAATGTACAGTAACAAGGGGAAACCCTGAAGGGGAAACCTGATGGACTGAACCATCAAAGGCTGGGTTCAGCTGGTTTCTCTTGACCCTGTATACGTCCACACTCTGAGTTCCCAAAAACAGATATGATTTTGTCAAGTAATAAAGTTTTTTCTTGTACTAGATTCAAAGGTTCCATAGAAAGGCAGAATGGTAAATGGTCTTCTACTTGTATAGCGCCTTTCTATGCTTTTACAGCACTGATCCAGATATTAGCTCATTTACTTATACATCCACACATTAAATACCATCCAGCATGTTTTAGACTTAAATACAACAAAACTTACTAATGCAATCGGGGTAGTAATAGTATCCCTCAGCACAGCTATTGCAGTTTTCTCCAGCAAACTGTGGTTTACAGATACATCTTCCAGACCCCATTTCACAGCCAGATGTAGTCCTTTCCTCACACCTGCATGCTGATGGGATCACATGTTGTTATGAAAAATCTATGTATAAATATCGTGGGTATTGGAAATTCAAGTTTAACATTTTGTTATGTTTGAGAATCATCTTAAAATTGATTCAGTTCATTTTTTACATCAATCTGCACACAGTACTCCATAATGATAAAGTGAAAACAGGCTTTTGGAGTGTTTTGTAAATGTATTAATGATAAAAGTCTGAAACGTCCAATTTACACAAGTATTCAGACCCTTCACTTATTAGTTGGTTAAAGTACCTCTGGCAGTAATGACAGCCTTTCTTTGTAGAGTTTGCATATTCTCCCTGTGCCTGCGTGGGTTCTCTGCAGGTACTCTGGCATCCTCACACAGTCCAAAGACACGCGGCTTAGGTTGATTAGCGACTCTAAATTGCCTGTAGGAGTGAGTGTGGTTGTCTGTCTCCAAGTGCTCCCCGCCTCTCACCCAATGTCAGCTGGGATTGGCTCCATCTTTAGAAAGGAACTCTGGATTTCATTCATAGTGACCCTTGGATTATTGGTCACCTGCTGATCAGGCCCCTTCATCCCTGATTACTCAGTCTGGCTTGGCGGCCAGATCTGTGAAAGTTGCTGGTGGTTCCAAGTCTCTTCCATTTGATAATGATGAAGGCCACCATGCTCTTGGGCACTTTTAATGATGCAGAAATTTTCTTGTATCCTTCCCCAGATCTGTGTGTTGACAAAATCCTGTCTTGCAGATCTATAGAAAATTCTCTTGACCTCATGGATTTGAATATAAACAGGTGTGTGCCTTTCCTAATTATATCCATTGCACTAAATTAAGCACAGGTGGGGTCTAATGCTGTAGAAGCATCTTAAGGACTATTGATAGGAGTAGGATGCACCAGAGCTCAATTGAAAGTGTCATAACAAAGGGTCAGAATACTTATGTAAATGGGATATTTCACTCTTTTATCTTCAATATTCATTTTCATTGTGATGTATTGTGTTTATATATACACACACACACACACACATATATCAACAAGTGTATCAGTGTAACGTCTACATGCATAACATCAATAGAGCACAAAAATACTCAGTGTAAGGCAAAAGACATTTACTGTAAACAACATACAATCTCAAGTAACAAGTACAGAAAGCTTTCAACCTCCCATCGTCTCAAAATAAGGGATCTCAAAAGCAAATAAAGATTATCGAATTTTAGTGGCTCTGTTTTTCCCAAAATGAACACCTTCCACTGCTAAGCTCACATAATTGAAACTGTGGATTCTGGGGTTTACTTTTCAAAGTGCTCAGGCCAACCAGTTTAATTCCACTACTTTCTAATGTCCAAACACAACTGGCAGCTATTTATACAGTGGGGAGCAGTCATGGACTATTAAAGTAATGTAAACAAGAGGAGAGCCCGCTTTAGCAGTATTAGAAGCGATGGTGCCAGCAGTGATTGTGCAATGGTGCCATTTGTGTCTGTCTCAAACAAGCTGCTGACACTCATTGAATGTAACTCTGTTTTGGCTTCACTTGTTAGTCACACATACTATGGGGTTAAATATGACATCATGAAACATTCATTCCCAAAATATCTGGAGCCGTATCCTGGATATTAAACCAAAACAAGTAACACTTTCATAATATGCTTCTATTACTGTTATTAAATCACTAGAGGAAACTGAGGAGCCTTTGCATGTTATTTCAATATGTAGTGGATTACCACAGCAGCAGCTATTCATCTTCACACTTTCACTCACAATAGATATTCTCACACAAAAACAGATGGCAGCACTTGCACACTAGTCACAACAACCACTTCAAATATAAAATTTTAAAAAAGTGAAACAAACACATGGCAGCCATAGTTCTTAAGTTTGAGACATAAATAAGCCTATGCACATCTAGACAACATCGCCAGTTCCTGGATAGTCTGGCAATACTCAGATCCTTTCAAAAGAAGAAAAAATAAACTAGTAGCAATAACAAGTAAAAAAAAATGAAAGAAAAAATACACAGGACAGAAAATGGGCATTTCAGTGTTACTGTAGATAAAAGGAACAAACAGAGGCAGTGACTCACGTATGCATCCATTAGGAGACTCTGGAGGTATCCCATAAGGTCTGTAGAAGCCTTCGATACATCGCTCACAATTCACTCCAGCTGTATTGTGCTAAAGAAGCACAAAAAAGACGTGTCAACTATCATGCAAAACTTAGCAAGGTGAACATAGGTGCTCAAGAGACATCACAGGAGTCCTCTTTGTTTTGTAGATATAGCGCTAGATACTTAACACTCAACACACTTTTACACAACATTAAGTTCCTGGAGTGGCAAAATGGAAAGTGAGTAGATGGCAAAAGTTGGTTTTGACCTCATAAACCCATTTGCACAAGTTGCAGATTAATGAAATGGTGCAGTGCTCCACAGAGGCCTCCATAATAATATACGCAGGCAACTTGGAATTAAATTTTATTTTTTACAACTCCTCCACCCCTACAACCGCACACACACAGAGGAATCAGTTTAGACTTGATGTGCAGTTCATACCTGGCAGTCGATGCACACTCCTCCTCCGTCGTACCTGCCGAAGGTGTCTAAACTTGCTCCCCTCCTTTCCACCTCTGGGTCGTAATAACAGTCGAAGGCATGGGAGAAACACTGGCAGGCTGAGAAGGAAAGCCCCAAGTCAGACATACATACACAATGAATTATTCTATATCCCTCAGCAAATTACCTCTGGCTCCCCCATCGGCATTTATGCGTCTGGTTGTTAAGTGTTAAGAGCACCTATAAAATCCAAACTAAACAAGACGGTACATCCTCTTCCTGTATGCCACCATTTTCATCAGTGTTTATGAATAGTTAGGGTGTGTTTCCACTGCATGAGTGAACTGATTGAATTACAAGTCTTCTTCATCTTTCTCTCTGCTTTTGTGGCTGCTACAAGGTCATATTTCATTAAGGGAAATTTTGTCAACAGCCCAGAGCAATTAGATTCCAGGTGACACAGACTCTCCTGTGTCAAAAAGCAGTTATCCTGGAGCTAGCTGTGCACTATGCTGCCATCACACACATCATATGAGGAATGTCCGCTCATCTCTGTACTGAGGCTCTCTACAATACCATATCAGGGCATCTACAACAGGGCTTAAATATCAGAGGCAGGAGGATACTTTGAGAGGGGCCCATAATTCAAGGTGCACAGGGAGTAGCATCAGGTTTTTTTGTTTGTTTGTTTTTGTTTACACATTGAATGAATCCTTGTATATGTACACTTACGTTGACACTCATTCGGCCTGTCGACAGTTGCGGCACGCCATGGCTTCTGATTAAAACCTGGGCAGCAGCGATCACATGACTCACCGCAGGTGTTGTGTTGGCATTCACACTGGCGTCTAAAAACAAGAAATGACACCTGGATTTAGTGATGTTCAGATTTCATATGTGTATCACAATGGCAGCTCAAAATCCTAGAACTTTTTTTAAATGGCTAACTAATCCCCTAAAGCACTGGGCACTGGACTTTTTAATCAAACATTACTGATGTAAAGGTGTAAACAGTGCACACAATGGCTATTTTCAGCTGGGGAGTAATATAGATTTGGTGTTCTAATGGGTATTTATGCTACACGTGGGGTTGGTTGAACAGTGCCCATGTTCATGGAAACAAAGCAGCATGCATGTATAACCCAGCCCATGAATCTTTGGGCCAACACTTGTTAGTAGGATCAGCTCATACTTGGTTTTGACTGATGTTTTCACTGAGAAAACTCATGAATATCTCCAACCCAATCCAATAAACTCTGAACTTAAATACTGTATGTAGTAAGATAACATTGCTTTAGTCACTTGTCTGTGAGCAGAGGATGCTGATGTGGAAGGTAGGGTTCTGTAAACTCTTAAGACCTGGCTGCTGACAGGAAGAAGTTTCCTCGAGGAGTGAGTCACGCTGCTCCTGATTTGACTCATGCTCTTATGGAAAATATTTAACTTTTATACAGATGTGTACAAATTATATTAGATGGATAACTCGGCATGCAGAGAGGACTGCAGAGACCTGTTCATGGCTGGACTGGTAAGTAAAACAGAGTAGATCCTCGGACTTGAGCTTTATATGTTTACTCGTTGTAAAATTAGGCAACTATTAGCTACATTATCTTGGTCCTGACACTGAATGATGTTGACAGGCCTGGACCACAGCGAGACACGTGTCTCAATCAGATGGAACAAGAGCTCCTGGAAGAGCTGAGCAAAGAGAAGCAGCTTTCACAGCTGTTCAACAGGCAGGTCACACTGGAGGGCCTTCATATGTTCCTCTCAGTCATCTGCCCAGCAGCAGAGCAGGCTGTACACACCTTCTGCACCATGGAAACCCGACTCATGGTCCAAACCATCTACAAGAGGTTTGTTGACCAGTCCACGTCATTCCACCTGATGGACTATGATGAAAGCTCTTTTGTTGCCAGAGAGGGTGTCATCTCTGCCATCCAGGACATGGACTACACTGTGGAGACTGACACATCCAGCCAGGCCGACCTTCATCTCAGCACCTCAGACGGGCTGAAAGAGGGACTGGAGGAGAAGAGGGAGGCTTCTCCAGAGAAGAAGCTTTATTTATTGTCATTGTAACATTGTGATATGTACAACAAAATTATGTTTGGAGCCGAGGACCCCGGGCCACTCCTTGGATCTCCCTGGATGAGAAGGTGGCCACTGTGGAACATGCCATGAGTGAGGGCACATCATTGGTCAGACTGGAGACCAATGTGGCTGTGGATGATCAGCGGTATTACAGCAGCAGGAGGAAGTAGAGGTGTCCGTGACGCTGTGGACTGTGATGTTAAGAAAGAGCAAGTGCTTCCCTTCTTCTGTCGTTTCTGGAGGAAGTTAACAACCTGCTTTTGTGTTCATACTAAGGACTGGTGACTCTGTAATAACAATATAACATGCATTAAAAACCTGAATTAATTATTTTTTGGCCAAATGGGGGCAGCAGACAAGCTGTAAACACAAAATTGACTTGATTGACTACTTATTCTCACATCCAACAGATGCAAAGCACCATTATAATTCATAAGTCATGTTTCAGACAACCTGAGACCTGAGTCTAACATTTTCTTTTCTTTTAGATCAGTTTTGGGCTCCACCAAGTCCTCAGGAAATTATCTATTTGTACATTGCTGCTAGTTAGCACTTTGTCTGCCGTTTGGTGCTGGGCAAATAGCGCATCAGAGCTGTTTACATGAAAACAGCTTCTTGCAGAACCATAATGAAACCTGCACGAATTCTATGTTGTTTTGCTATTTACTTTCAAACCATGACTTTATCACACATCTCGTCTTTTTACCAGTCAGTAATCAGAGTATCTAAAATAATCTTCTGTCTTTTACAATGATGATGTCAGTGTACAAACATATGAGGTAACTGTGCTTCCTCAGAAACTATGCATTATCACTCAAATCCCTAGGTTTGACAGCATCTCTGTGGTCTTCCTCTCATCTCACTATACTGCTACACACACTGGAACTCAGTGTACAGAACAACCTTGAATCTGTTAATGAATAAACACATGTAATGGATTTACTGGTTGAAGTTACACTTCAAAGCTAATTTTTGAAAAGCACATATGAAGTCAGCTCAGGAAAATTAATGAGTGAGAACTTTGGACATAAAAGCATTAATGTTAGATATTATTTTTGGCATGTTACCTGTATGAATTGTCTTGGTTTCTCCTCCCACACACCTGCGCATGCCCGTGACAAATGCAGCGTCCACCAATGCTGATGTCTTTGATGCTATAGTAATACTGTCAACAAATAACAGAAATGTTATCAGCAGCGACATTATTTCAAAGTAATAAGTGTTATCAGAGGCTCAGCAAATTCGCCCACACCAGAACAAATGTCTGGAATTGCTTGGCAGCAAAGTGAATTACACATGTCCACAAGTACAAACTTAAACCATGACCCATGAGCTAAGTCTAGTTTCATGGCATGAATCAGTGCATTATAAAAAAAAAAAGATAAGAATCAACAGCTGACATTACTGATTTATTCTGTTATTCTCAGCATGTTAAACAAAAAGCTGACATGAATCCTGAGGATACATGCTGTAAAAGATTTAGTTTACAACACAATTTTAAAATAACAGTTTCAGTAAAGCTGTGTTACATGACAAATGAAGCTGCTACTCATGCACAAAATAAGAAAAGGTTTTGATTAACATCATCCTGCATTAAGAAAAGGTGCCATTTTCTGCACCTGCAGTGTGTAAGAGCTGTCCAAATTGGTCTCGTCAGTCTTTACCATTGGAATTACCGTGATTACTGGACAGACAGACCTGGCATTAGGTCTTGACAATTATAAATTTGTGAGCACAGGAGAGCAGGTCAGCGTATTTGTGTCAGCAAAAGGAAGCTGGAGGGTAAGTGGTGCAGTGCAGTAAATCTGGCTCATCCAAACTGGAACCAAGAAACTGCTAGCATGGCACCTTTATGTGAGACTGTAGAGTATATGCCTCACCCTGCGTGTGACAGTTGGGTCACTCTGTGCCTTGGCGATGAGGTGTCCCAGCAGGGTGTTGGTGCGGAGGAAGCGCAGGCGGATGTGAGTGGCTTTCGTGAAATCACGCAGCACTGGCGAGTAGGTGAAGTTTTTGGAACCCGGCCGACGGTTGACCAAGGACACCACAATCTGGACAACACAGAATTATTTCACACATAGTTTTTCACACATTTCACACATAGTCTGAGTATTAAACTACTTCCTGTGATGTTTTACCTCTCCATTCTCCAAAGGCACAATTCGCGAGTACTCTGTCGTGCAGAGCTGATCATCATCATTCACTATGCGGGAATTGGGCTGCTTTCCAAACCTTTCAGTGCATTCATGCTTTGAATCTGCCAAAACCAAATTAAAAAAACCTTTTAATCTCTCAATGCATATTCCATTCCTTTTTTTATTTGAAAGAAATGATAATAACATTCTCACCAACTGATACAACATAGTAATGATGAAACCTTTTTCAGTTCATTGCAGTTTCAGTGCATATGTGAAGGTCTGACATCTGATATGGGAGTTGCAGTTGCCAAAATACTTCATATCAATGAATCATGAGGTCAGACAATCAAACTATTTTTATCACAATATTTGTGTAAAAATTAAACAAAGTCTGCAAAAGCATTACAGCTATGTGAATGAATCATGAGAATTCTTTAAGTGAGTGTGTGCTGGACTCATGAAAGATCCTAAAAGAGCACAAACTTGGATCAAATGAAAACAAAAGCAAAGAGAATCTCTGAGAATGTAAACCTGATGAGTCACTGCTACAATTCGTGGGCACAAGTGCCTCCTGGATATTAGACATTATGACAGATATGCAAACTCTGCAATTCTGGAGCATGTACTCAGCTATGGTATTCATGTAGTCTGGAAATGGAATGACATTATGCAAGTTACAGTGTTCTAGTATTGGTTTTCATTTGTTTAACACATCGTGAACACACCATGAATTAAATGTGTGGCAGTAAACTAAATTTAATCCATCTTCACAATGGACCCTTTTCACAGAAGACATTTTGACTTGTCATGGCAGGAAAGGCACAGGAGAGAGAGCTCACAGGTGTAATTATTAACAAGAATAATTCCTGCATTCCATTTAGCTGTGCCAGTTCCGGGGCTCTGGCAACACACAACCTGAATTGCTGCCACACAGTAGATTAAAAGGGACACTTAAAGGGATCTGGGCCTTTGTTAACGTTATTAGCTACACCTGTGCAGAAAGTCAAAATGTCTGCCATGAAAAAGGCCCATTGTCAGTGAGAGTGACAGTTTCAACAAAAGCACGACTTAACGACTTAACAACTGCTCACTATTAAATACCTGATACTGTGATATCCACAGGATTTTGTTAATGGGTAGTTGCTGCTGTTGTGTTACTGCACTGCATTACTTCAATCAGTTTCCAATTTCTTCCTGTTTACTTCAAACACATTTGAAGATAAAGCTTGCTATGAGGTGCAATTAAACATAAAAAACCTTTGTCAACTGGGAATAAGATCAATCATTCCATGTTTTACAGTTAACAATAGAGAACACCAAACATTTATTTGTAAAACATCCATGCATAAAAACATGCATGCACAAAAGTGTTGTTTTGGTTTTGAGAATACAAAAAAAAAAAAAAAAATTAAAGCATGCAAAACAAAAATAGCAAATGGGAACTTACATGCAAAATACTGCCAGGGGGTGAAGGTTCTTCCATAATCCACAGAGCGCTCCAGCACCCACAGTTCAGGGCGAGGTGAAATGGCAAACTTGATGAGGACGTATGCCACATGGAAGAGCTAAAGAGCAGAACACAAAGAGGAAACTAAACAAAACACAGTGACTGCTCTGAACGGATTTTAGCATAATTCCGTAGTTTCCTTCTTGCTCTATCAAGTAAGGCCCAAATCTTGGCCAGCACCTCCAACAATACTCTTATTTCCTTTCTTGTGAAAGCCTGGGCACAGCCTTGGTTGTATGTCTGCAAATGACAAATGGAGATTTAGCAGTTGCACCAAATCAAGGTCAAGGCCTTCTGTTTTGAGAATGTTTTATCTTGCATCTTGACTTCAGCAGATTCTATTAGACCATACAACAAAGTCCAAACAATTCATCAACATTTGTCAGCAATAAAAGTGGTGCAGGTGCAGCCTGGTTAATGAAAAGACATCAGTCAAGCTCACATGATCCCGGTCTGCTCTCTGAACTTTCTATCTTTCCATCACCTTTCATTAGAATATACAGGCCTTACAAAAGCAGAAAGTGATGTCAGTGATTGTTTCTGCCAACACTGAGCTTTCTGTCAAGCTCAAGGTGTTCAGAGCAGTACATCGCCTTTACAGTTCATCAGCATCCTCATCAAGCCCTCAAAGCAAGTGCCTTCAGCTTGACTGAATGTTATACAATAGAAAGGTAATTCATGATAGTCAAAGCTCTCTTTGTTATGGTCTGACACAGACTTGGCATGGTTTGGAATTTTAAACCCTGTGACATCACCCTGCACGTGACACCTGCAGTGTCAACAAAAGGCCTCACATACACCATACCACCACGCCCCTGTCCTGTTTTTGTCAGGCTGCAACACAATGTATCTCCATGCAATTTCAGTACTGGCATGGATCCTAAAGCAACATTTGACATGTTTAAAAAACAGGGTACTGTAGGAATATTTGCTAAACTTGTAGTACCTCCCCTTAGGACTGAAGTGTTGGATGGAAACTGTACCTAAAATACTGTGTGGTTTATAAATAAGACATTTCTCTAGTCTTCTTTCTGAGAAGGTTGAAGGCAGGCCTGCACTCGTCTAGCATCGCCCAGCGCCTTGATGAAGACTCCAGCGGGCATGTGAGACATTCAGGTTTCTGTCTCTCCTTGCATAAGGCACAATGCATAATGCCCAGTAAATCTTTTGCTATGGTGTCATGAAGGAGCCACAATTATCATAGTGGATTCTTCCTCAAAATCCTGAAAAGTAATGGCCTGGAGATCAAGTTGCTTTTGGGCTGATGGATTGTGAGAGAGTTCAGAGGTCTTCTTCTCTAAAAACAGCCAACAATACCTAATAACAAACAACAAAATCATTAGGTTGCAAATCAGAAACAGTCTTTGACTTGACTGTCCTTTAATCATCATTGCCATTGAACAAAACAGCCATGCTGTAAGTAAATAAATCAGCTAAGAATGCCTTCTCCTGACCTTAACTTTGAATGGGGTGTGTCTTGAAATTAATCAGAGAACACTTCCACCCTCATGTAACAGGATGCGCAAAGAACCAAAAAAAATAATAATAATAAAGAACAGCACACACAATCATGTGGGATATAATCCTGCTAAAAACAGTAGCATGTAGAGCTGCCTACTATCAATATCCTGGTTCTGCTGAGGACCGGGAAGAAGTTTAGTTCACACGGGCTGTGATGACATTAAGGGAGGGCTGGGGTAAGGGAGGTAGGAGGGTGAGATGGGGGAGGGTGATAGGGGTGTAGGGGTGGTTAGAGACGTGCTGGCTGCCGTGCAGACCCCTCTCAGATTCCGAACATAGCGCTACATTCCCCTTCCCTCCTAATGCTTCAAAGCAGAGCATGCCACTGCTTTCAGGAACCTGTCACTGTCACAGCCTTGAAAATCTTCTCCGCTACATGGATATGGATAAAGATGGCAACTACAAGAGATGCTGCAGGTTCCCAAGAATAACAACATCCGTTATCATACATAAAAATGTGTTTCTGTTCTAATTCTGGTATAGTCGGACACCACAATTTGAATTCTCAAGGCATTTGTGGGTTTGGACAGTAACACATTTGCATTAGTTTACCTTTTGTTCAATGTGAAAGATAATTCTGCAACACTAACTGAGGAGGCTGCATGTCATTCAATGTTCAGATAATGGCACACTTTTTTCAGAATGGGTATCTGTACATGAGCACCTAGTGAACTGCTGAACAGCTGGGTTAACATTATACTGTTGCAAATACAGTAACTTAGCGCCTGACAGATGCATATGATGCCAAACTTAATGGACATTTCAGTCAGTACTAAAAATATACTGAGGTCTAGTGCAGGCCTGCCGGTAAAGAACCTATAGTTGTATTGTTCAGCTTTTTGTCCACTGTACTTATTGTAATTCTACTACTGACATGGTGCCATTAACTGAGTGAATCCTCCAGAAACAAACACAGTCAGAAACAACAAGAACAATCTTTGAAGACAGTGCCAGTCCTGGCATGGCTTTACTTAATTTCAGGCCTGTAATTCAGTTGTGTCCAAGCAGTCTGAACACACACTCCTAAAATAATGTATGTCCAGCACCTACTGCATGTATTGTTTGGAAGGAGCATGAACTGTCGTGATGGCATGCTAAGCACACCAGTACAAGATTCCAGTGGAGTAGAAGGACATGAAACAGACTGACAAGCTTATGGCAAAAACACTTGGAATAGCACTTGAGCAGAACCATCCTCTGCTCCTCCCTGCACCAGCAGCCACAAGCTCTTGACAAGCATGTCATACCAGGAGGGTTAAAGCCGGCTATGGGTTTGTATCAAAAAGGTCAGGGGTTGAGCTGTGACAGGTATGGACTCTTTTATTTATTATTGACCATGACTCCTTTTTAGTAGTGTCACATTTACAGGGTATAAAGCATCCCTCTTGCCTTCTAATTCACAGAACGACAGAGCCAACCACGTCCCTCATGAGCAAACACCATTTTAACAACAGCATATTAACATTTTTCCCTTTCTCGGTGCACCTGTAGTAACATGTTTGACAAATCCACAGTCACATCATTCGTAAATCTGTCCAACCTTCATGCCCAAATCATGTATCATGTTTGTTTGTGTATTATCAATTCTAAATGAGTCCCCTCTGACAGTTAACTCCTAGTTTGTGTGTGTGTGTGTGTGTGTGTGTGTGTGTGTGTGTGTGTGTGTGTGTGAGAGAGAGAGAGAGACAGCTCAAGCATGATAATTGTGCACCCTTAAGTGTGAACTGCAGCAGCACTGCTACTTCTACACTAATGTTCTGCCCTCTAACTTCTCACATACCCGCACTGGTTGCATAACCCTTGGCCAGTTATGTTGGTTGCAATGCCTGCCATGTGGATCTCTTCAATTATAAGCTCTTTGTGTTGACGAAACGAAGTGTACTAATAAATAAACTGGTTAGGAATTTCTCACAGCCTTTTCAATCATTAACTTTCATGTCTGAAACAATTACTGCCCCTTTATTTCACAGATCATCATCATTCATCTATGAATTTGATATGACATTGAAGTTACTGTTACCCTAATAGTAGGTGCTATATGCTACCATGTGAAGATGAGATATGTAGACATAATTAATTTAATTGTATCTAATGTCAAATGTGCAACATCAATAAGTATTTACATCAAGTGCAGTCAATAAGCAGATATTGAATATCCTAATCTCAAATTCCACCCAAAGGGCACTGCAGAGTCACGAGGACTAAATCTACAGTGAGGGCCGAGTCTCGACAGATAGAAGAACTAAGAAATGCAATTCAAAGGAGCAGAAGCATCACTTTGTGTTGGAGCAACTCGACCCTGCCAGACAAAGCACACCGCAGCCCAGTGGGGGGTTTGTAACAATGCAATGTACAGCTGTTGGTCTGCTTGCAACAGGTGGGCAGTGGAAAGGGAGAGGGGTAGTCTGATGTATTTTTCCTCTGTCTCCATGACAGAATTAGTTATAAAGAACAGCTGCCTAAAAGTCACAAGAGGTCTGTAGCTGTAACAGAAAACATTTAGGATGTGCACATTTGAGCTTCTCATTTGAAAACCTGAGGCGCAGAAAGAGCTGTCTGTGTGCTGTTTGCATTGACCACAGCACATCTGCCTATTTATGACATGTAAACATTAAACCATTACAAATAAGTTTAAAATGGGCAATAAAAGGGCTTAAAATACCTTGGGATTGATGATCGAATGACTTAATGTTGTATTATACAATTGATATGTTTTAGGATTTGTGTCACTACACCTGCCAGTCAAAATATAAACTGACTGCAAGATTGAACTCCTCTTTATTCAAAGATCTTAAAATTTGAAAACTAAATGATAAAACACTGACAATAAATCAGCAGAATATAAATTGTTGTACATTTGCAATATTAAGCTGATGCAGTGTTTGTTCCTGTATCTATTGGTGACGTTAACTGAAAGTAGCCTGACGGATGTACTGCACATGAAACAGCCCTCTCAGATAGGTCCAGGAAAGTCCTGCTCTCTAACACATCCCATTGCATCAATGCCTGCGTCAGTAAACGTGTGACCACTGGTTAGCATTTCCATGTAGGAATTGATGACAAAGGCCTTGAAAGAAGAATAAATCCCATGTTAACCCTCAGATCAGTGCTCCAGATTTAGGAGCATCTGCGGTCCAGGAGTCACCTGTGATGCATTCACCAAACCAGACTGCTACTGCTAAAGCTGCTGCTGGTGGAGTAGTAAATATCTGGTGTGTTGGCCCGGCATCTCAGGCGGCCCGGCTAAAGACAGGCACTTACATCACCTCCATTGTCAGCACAGCAATAGGGCTATGTCTAGCTGTCAATCTTGTCTCTAGGGTCAGGGTGTACCAGCGCCACTGTATGAGCAAATCCTTATTACTAACCACATGTATATAACAAGACAGGGTAGATTTTCAATAGCATTTTTATTTTTGATCTTTTCTGGATTACATATTAAAATCACATGACACATATTATTGTGATATTTACTAACCACTTGATTTTGAAGGATGCAGTGCAGCCATGCACAGTGGATTTGTACCCACAGGATCATCCATACATGTATGTAAGCATCATGCTTGGCTGTATCTGAATATCTATTCACTAAGAGGGCTGATGTCAGTGGGAAAGTGGAATGCCATGTGTGTTTGTGTGTGTCTGTTTTCTCTTAAGTACTTTCTCACCACCAAATTACACCACATCTCCATTTATATCAATTTATCTAGTGAAAAGAGAAGGCCAGGTCACTTTTAGCAAAGCTTAAAAGAACCAAACCTTTGTGAGAGTCTGAGAGCACAGAAGGGATGTCGCACAATACGCCCTAGAGGGACTTTACCACAAAAGGGGGCGAGGGCCGCAAATAAAGCATTCAAACCAACATTGGTGGGAGGTGTACCCCTGAGAAAGAGAGGCTTTAGTGTCAGGAGAATGCTTTTAAAATTGAGTTCTTGGAAGCTTTGGGTTTGACAATTGCAAAACTGTGAGCAGAGCCAAAGCCACTGCACTAACCTAAACCAGACAATTTCTGTCTTCCAACTTTAGCATTCAAAGTCCAAAATCTTGCGCTTACTCACATCTTTTACAAAGTAAAAAGCATGTATACCCAACATCATAGCCTGTCGAGCAAATAAACATATATTATAGTTAAACAACAAGATGAACTCACAAAACCACAGCACAAAGCTCCATCACCAAGTCAACTAGCAATCCACAGTCTTAACCTTCACACAAAAATTTGCCAGTTAAATTTCTTGTACATCAGTCCTGCAACTAATCAGGGCTTCATCTAAACCAATAACATCTGATGTTCTTTCAGTTTCTGGCATCCACCAATCAGAAGTAGTTCAGTCTCATCTGATGGGAGGCAGCAGTAAGCCCTGGTATTTTTGCCTCACATGGTCTACTCTGGGCTCACTCGGGCAGATAAGCACATGTGGTCAAGGCTCCTAAAATACATTCCCCAGAAAAAAAAAAAGGATTGACTGGCAGTCTGATACATGGTATAAATGTTTACCGGAACAATGGCTTGCCTGCTGTGAACTAGAAATAGTCTAACAAGAGCAAAAGTTCCTGGAAAACATTGACATAGATGTGGCATACATTTATACTGGCATGGACAAAAAATGAGTACTGGTTCTTGACACATGAGTGCAAAAGTGACTATGAGATAAACATATACAAGTCAAAAGATATATTACTGATAATCACTTAAAATAAGCTTCCAAACATATTCACTTAACATCAAATTCATTAATTTTGGGTCAGTTACTCCAGAGGTAAAACATGTTTATGCCAAACACTCTTTATCTATTATACAAGAGCCAACAAAAGATCACTGAAGTCATTTCCTGACTGAAGAGAGGACTAGTCATAGGTCAAAGGCAAAGAAGTCATAAAAAAGGGAGCAGCCAGTCTGCTTACCTTGGCCTGTCAGAGCCACAGGATTTATCCAGAAGAGAATTTTTAGCTGGAGGTGATTTAGAAAGTGAGCATGTTACAAGAAGCCTGGGGATCACCAGTGCCAGGAGGGTTCATTGTCTGGTGACCATGAATACCCGTACAATATGTCATGATAATCCATCCAGACTTTGTTGAGATATTTCAGTCTGCACTGAAGTGGTGAACAAACAGACCATCACCGCTATCCCTAGAGCCATACTGCTAGCATGTCTCTACTGCTAGCTCCACAAACTATTGAGTTCACTTTCAATCAGATTAGTCTAGCTCCAAACTTGTCAGATCATGTGTCAAACAATCATCTTTGAAACTGAAAAGCCGGAAACAGCTCTATCAAAAAGGGCCCTCTCTTTTGAACCATTTTAACATAAACATCAACTGTGCCGCTATCTAACACATCTACTGAGCAGTATATAGACAACACCAGTACAGCCAGGTGGCTGATCATGAAAGAAACCGCAGTGCCCATTCAACGAAGTCCAGCCCACACACCATTTATCCTATGGATTTTCAAAAAAAAATCTACAAAGCTATCACATGGGACAGTGAGTATCTGAGAATGCTGAGTTTGCTTGTTGGATACACCAGAGGTTAAAGAAGCAGCCATCTGATAAAGTTCTCATTAGTAAATCACAAATCTGCTCCCTACATACCAGGCTTTTTCTCAGCTTTTTTCTGTTCCTTACACAGAGTCAGTTTTCATCACAGAATTTAAAGATGTGAGTGCTGAATCCATTGTCTGCCTCAAAAAAAAAAAAACAATGGTGGCAGGTGAGCATTGCTTACTGCCCTGGTGGTTACATCAGATGCTATAAAAGAAAAATGTATGTGACAGGTGTGCATGCGCGGTGGAGGTGGCGATGTGGTATTGAGGGAAGGCAGGGAGTTGTGTTGTTGGTAGTTACAGTCGGAGATCTAGCCATGCTCTTTTTAGCACATCGTAATGCAGTAATGCTGCTTTCCTTACTCCCAAATAAACTGAGCATTAGCATGTATTAAATTCAGGCATCCCTTGTACGAGTGGACTATATTTAGTCATGTGGGATCTCTGCTCAGCTCAGTCTGTCAAAAAAACACAGATAGAAAAGCCAGCATCCATTGACTGACACAGTGCCCATTGGGAGAGCACTCCTCTTGGTGTTCTCTTTTTGAAATCTACTACAAATAGCCAAGACCTTCACACAAGAGGCCTTCACCTGCACCCTCAAATCTGATTTACACTCTTCTGATTCCTAATCCTGAGACAGAATTCCTCTCTTTCCTCACAATGGATAACTGAAAGTGAGATGCAGTTTACGGGCCTTGAGCCAAACTCCTACCAGAGACACGGGTCATTATGGGAGCACATTCACCAGCCAAGGGAGGTAAATCTCATTTCTGGCAAGCATCCAGCTGTGAGACTATTTGCTTGACCACTACTGGCTGAGGTGATGAAGCTCAAACTGAAAACATAATCATATAACACCTTTGGGATATTTGGAAATGAAAAATTATGAGTCAAACAAATTTCTCCCTATATCCAAAACAAATATCAACAGCAAAAACTAAAAAAGAATATGATATAAAGATATTCCTATTTTCAGTTTTACTAATGGTATAACATATCTCGCATCAGTAGAGCAAGTGCAGAAAACCCATTCCTTCTTTTCCCTCTGTAACATCCATGTGCTATATTTTACTGTCACCACAAAGTAGTCATTATTCACACAGCAGGTAGCAGCAGATAAACAGCTGTTCACTGCAAAGTAAGGTATGTTAATCTCACCTGCCCAAGATCCAGGGTTACATTCACCTCATTGTAGCCCATGCCCCTGGAGAGAGGCGGGCTTTGCCACCATCGCTCAGTCCCATCAATGGCGTTGGTCACCGGGTGGGCTTTGTTTGGGTCAATGGAGTTGCAGTAGTCACAGAACTGACCCTAAAAGAAGACAAATTGTTGGTATTCAGAAAAATAGGCTATACATCTCAGTATGTGCAGCAAACCACATGCCTAGTTTTAATGGAGGGAGGAATCAGCAAATAACACTACAGCAAAAAGTGAAAAATACCACAACCATTAATGTAAGTCAGTTATAAATCTTGAGCTTGAGGGGAGCTTTTGCGTGTTGTTGTCAATTTGCTGTTCTTACAATAAAGGGCCCTTCAGAATAACTCCTGAGGGGGCAAGGCCACTGCTGAAAGGGTATTTCCTTTATTTAAAAAAAAGAACTGGAACTCCACAGTGGTGTAAAACTATTTCTGGCTTTTGTGCAACTTGGTCAGGGCGGGCAGAATAGGCCACGGCTCCGAAAACAAACACAGAGCAAATGTGGAGAAAGGACCAGATCAATACAAAAATATTAATAACTCAACCGACGTTGTCACAATAGCATAACTTCCCGCCCACTTATTACAGTATTCCCACTGCTTTCCAGGTTTTGGTCGGACGAAAAGCTGCAGTGAGGAGTCGGCAGTATCCCTTCTATCCTTACCTGTATATTTTGAGTAGGAGGTCCGGTGGTCGGTCCTCCGACAAGCTTACAGTATAAGTCATTCCTCGGTGACCCAGCCTCATCCTGTCCGCAGGTCGCTGTGGCCGAGATACTAGACCACTGAGCTAGGTTGAAATACGGCGGACTCAAACTGAAACCTGTTAACCTGTTAAAAGGTTCTTGTCCCTCTGTTTCCCTGAAAAGTGCAATCGAAAACGTAAAAGACAAAGCGAGGAGATGAGGTCCTCTCATCCATCTCGCCATGTTCCACGTTAGAGATCCCTGTAGATGCTGAGAGCAACCCGCAGCGCGCAGGTCTTGTCATCCATAGATCTCCATGGCATGCGCCTCACTGCGAGAGTTACGCGCAGGGCGCTCGCAGGACTAAAAGCTGCCGCTTATGTCGAACAAAGCTTTACGTTGATCGTCTGCTGTTGAAGGCGTGCTCTCTTTCTGTCGCATGTCTCCAGACCAACAGCGCCAGCTTTGCGTCTTCCTTACCAAACTGTGCGCCACAGTGGAGCTACCGGGCACTAATGCGCTGAGTGTGGCCAGAGGTCTCCTATCACAGCTTAGAGTTCAACAGCAACACTACTGTTTCCACTCTGTCTATTAGTCTATTTGAACAACAGACAAAGTTAAATATAACCCAGCCTATAAAACGGTTTCACGACTTCAGGGAACATATTTGGGACCCTTCTGACGTTTTGATAGCCTGTCAATAAAAATAGATTATTAATAGTCCATTGAAAAAAAAAAGCATTCTGTGAGAAGTATTCTACAATTTTTAACGCATGTTGAACTGGGTGCCTCTTAAGCATCGACTAAAGTCAAACAAAAATCCAAACATGCGCAAATGAGGCCTATATACTGTAGAAATCAGTGTTTGACTTTAAAATTAAATTATTAGTAGAGAAAGCGTTTATGGTATATTTCGTAGATTAATCAATAGGACACATAATAGGTTATCTTGTTTTATTATATGTTTTATATAGTTTTGACATGCGCTCTAACTTCTATCCTATATGGCTCAAGGTTGATCTTAGGGTGACCTCTACTGGAGCAGCTTGCCCTAAGTGATTTGAGCAAGGATGAGGTCGTGCAGGTCACTTAGCCTTTTAAAACCAGAGATTCCGCGACTCTTTTTTTTTTTTTTGTCTTATTTTATGTCTTATTTTATGCATCTTGATATTTAGGTTGTCTACTGCCCCAAATTATTTTAAATTAAAATAACCACGTGTCAAATTCTGTAAAAATTTCCATTTGCAACAATGGTTCGGTATGTTCTGTTTTCTTTGTAACTTGCACAACAGTTCAGTGTGGTGACGCACTGGCAGGAGGGTTGTGGCGTCCCAGCATCGTCGCCATTCCTTGGACTGGACAGGTTACTGAACCCATGTGTCAGAGCTGAGGGAGTGTTAAGCAAACAGGAACTTCTTGTGGAGTGACAATACTACTATAGGTAAACGAAACAAGCACGGAGCGGATCACGGCTTAAATCTGTTGTGTTTTCATCTGTCACAGGACTCCGCATGGAGCCAACGAATCTACAGGTAGGATGAATAACTAGTTGAAAATGGAAAGGTCCCCGGTTGTTAATGGAGCAGAGTACAACGCCTAAGCCCATCGAATGTGAATGATTTGTATGCAAAGTGAATGGTTTCACTTTGTTTCAGTCTGCGTTTCTGAAGCTATTGTATGCTCAATTAATATGAATTTTCCGTCTTTTATTAAACTATGACCGAATGAGCGGTCCCTAGTGTGAATACAGAGACTTTGGTGGCTATATTTCTGTTCTGCAAGAGCTGACTGCTGGACTCCATTATCAAACAATAACAGACTCATATAAATACACAGGCTCGATGGCAGTCCGTGAAATGACTACTTCACAGTTTATTAAATGTTTTATATAGGGCTGTGACCAATTATAACGTTCTGGCTGTATCTGGGTGTTTATTTAAAA